CATTATTACATTACTGTACTACTAGGGAAAATACGAACAAAAAATAAAACTATCTACTTAATTAAAATTTTAAGCGTCTTGTTTTTACAGACTTAAGTTTTTTTAATAACTCATTATAATCGATTAATTGCGCTTTTTCCGATTCGATTCTGAGTACCTAATGATAAGTTGTTTGTCCTTTCCTGAGTGATTGAACATCTTTGGAAATTCAAAGTTTTATTTAACCTGCTAAACGATCTTTCTGCTCCAGCGCTGTTAGAGGGTATGGTGAAAAATATTTTTAACAAAACAGTGAGAGCAGGATATGAGGCATCTAAATGGTTTGTCATAATAAAAGGAAGAATTTCTTCTGTCAGAAGATTATTATCATCATGTCTAAGCTCTACAAGTAAGTTACAAATTATTTGGTATTCATCTATAATGGAACTATTAACATCTTTTCCATAAAACAATTGAAGATCCATTAAGCACTTGATATTTTATTCACAGTTCTTAAAATCCACGAAGCAAGAAAACTTTTGACACAGTGAATTAAATTCAGAAAATCTGTTACATAAAGTTGCAATAAAAACGTCTAAAACAGTGTAATAGACAGAAATTTTAAATCTGCCTTCGGCGCTTTCAATAACAAAATCCTGTTGCTTTTCGTCGTGAAATGATTTTGTTCTCCGAAATCGTTTATTGGCAAAATCATTCGAAATTTTTGATTTAGTAGCAAGTTTTATGGCATCTTCCTTAAATTTAAAAAATGATATTTCATTTCATACAGATTCGATATAGTTTTGTGCACTTTTAATCATGGACGATGCAGTGGAAATGACATAATTTGAACTTTGTAAATATCGTGATAAAATATCAATTTTTAAGTAGTTCTCGCCATAAATTTTGCGATTTCACTAGGGCGCGTCACTCAGTCAGAGTTACCATATTATCTTATCCACAATAATTTAACCGATAAAAGAAATATTTGTAACTGAAGGAACTTTATTAAACTATACTTATTAATAGAATGTTTACATAATCTTGTGGCCTACTCTCTTCCCAATAAACGAGAGCCAATGTTTTTCTTTTCTTCAACATGAAGAATATTCAAGTCATGTTTTCTTCCTGTTCAATTATTTTTGTCTTCACACTTCCACGTGCTTAATACCTTAGTGCCTTTAGTTTCAATTCTCTGGTCTATTCTTTAAACTGTTGCCTTATTCAGTATAGGCTTACCGATGATTGAGCTGCGAATATATCTACCAGAGCGGGAATACTATTTCCAGCAAAATGCCGTTTAACCATCGGCATCGTAAGTTTTTCAGAAGTTGTAAAATTCATAATTGTTTTATACCAAATTACTTTGTTTGGTACCTTCAAATTTTTGTAAACAAAATGTGACATCGACTTTGACAATGACTCAATCACATTTTTACTGGTATTTTAATTGTAGCTTTCTCTGGTTCGTATTATCAAATTTACTAATTTGAAGGTAGATTTTTGTAAATAACTTTTAAATGACCATTCCAAATGAAACGAAATTCTAGTCAAAAGTACAACTTTAATGCCTCTTCAAAAAAGCCTAATACAAGTTTTCCAAAAAATCATCTGGGGAGACAATATTTGATCCATTTGTAGAATGTAGAATGTTTAGGGGGGAGTTAATCACTGCGACCTTACAGATCTATTGTCTGTTCCCCTTTCTTGAGTTATAACGGATTATAACTCATCATACAGTCTCAGGGCTTTGACAGTATCTGCGACGGCTCCACAGAGGCCAGCTCTCCATCCTCGACATCAGCCGTACCAAAGTTCATGGCACGAATGGTCTTCGTCTCGGCCCACTCAGTGATAAGGTGTTCTGGTGTTTCCCCATTTCCCCACAGAATCTGCAATCGCCGTTGTTTCTCAACTTCAGCCTACTGAGGTGTTCGTTGTAACTTTATTTTCTTTGCCTATTTGTTGAGCTTCTCTAGTCATTCTTTGACCTACTTCGAATTGATGGTTACTGAGTTCATCGCGTTACGATGGTTACTGAGCTCATGCTGCTTGACTATCGGATAGGATGGCAATTTCCTGTTTTCGATAGTTCCTATCTAAGATAAATTGTACGCATCTTTCGATAGCGTAAATTTCTGCTTGAAGGATACTGGGGTAAGTGCGCATTGGTTCGGAATACTTAGTTTTCGGCCCAAATACTCCTATCCCTGTTTTGGTTTTGGAAGCATCGGTATACCACGTTATGGTATGGTCTTTTATATGCTGAGTAAGGCGTTTCTTCCTTCCAATCCTTTTTATTACTCAATACTACAGTGAGGTGTTTCTCAAAGTTGTAAATTCTTGGTATGTCATCCACTGGGAGTTGGAGAAGTGGAATTTTCTTTTTGAGGGTGTTTCAAGCCCTTGACCTTAAAATTCCACCAGTGCTGTTTCCGTCAATGACCATTCTAATCATTGTCGCATTTGCATAACTACCGACGACAATGTGCAGTGTTAGGTCTAGAATGACCTCCATTGCTGTTGTTGGACTTGTCCTCATGGCATCTGTGATGCAGATACATGCTAGTCTCGGTACTTTGCACAGGTTTTGCCTTGCTGTACGTTGCTCTAGTTTTGTGTACCAAGAAACTGCTCCATAAGTAATCATGGGTCTTACTATCATGGTCTCATGGTATACATCTAGCGCAAAATGTTAGGGGCGCAGTTGATCCATTTAAAATTTACATCTGATTCCCTATGTCCCGTGTTCCGATGCATCGCAGTACTATTATATCATCTAAAAAAATTACGTAAATTAACTACGTGGCATAGAAATAATGACTGATTACTCTTTGTACCGTAATTAAAAGTAATTTAACGAGAGAATCGTGTAAATCATTCTCGAAAGAATAATAATATTCTTTTCCTACATGTTTTGTTTCACGTATAATAAGTAAGAAAGTAATTTGCGTTATGTCGAAGTGCATAGCGTTGCCGTGCTGCCGAAGCTATTACCACCCTGTAGAGAAGCCGTTACGTCAACACCATTAGACTTACGGCTTAAATGGACTTTTGTTGTAATCTTTCCGGACATATTAAAAGAACATTAAAGCCAGTTACTTTGTTATTAGATATTAGCGAAAAAATTATAGGATATATTTTTGCAGCGTTGCGATATAAGTAATCTTTTTCAGTGGTCGAAGAAGTTGTTTAAAAGAAATTCTGACAGTTTGATGATTGATGTGTTTTGTATTCTCTCTTGACTGTATCTACAAAACTGGCTTTGTCAAATGTTACGTTTGCATCAACTATGGGATAAAAATACTAAAGATGGATTCTACCGCGTGAGTGGCTCACCCCTATAACTTTTTTATTTTGTTAGATAAAAAAACGAGATTTGGTATGTTAGTATATAACATAAATTAGGATTGATTGACGTATTCAATTGTTTTTTTTCCTTTCCTGTTTCAAAATGTTGTAAATGATTACAACTTTTGATTATTAAATGACACCCTCGGTATTTTTCCCCTCATTTGATAGAAAATTACATTCTGAATAGAATGACATGTCATATGTAAACTTTTAACATTTTCTTTCAATCACACGGTATACGTATATAAATATACATTCCCCCGCAGCTTCAGACGATCGATGTTCTTTACATTAAATCTGGTTAAACGTTTTAAAGCTCTGCGAGTCCTTTAATAGTTGAACAAATATTATCTCACGTCCAGACGCAGCTTTACATAGAAATGAGGTAAACATTAGATAAACCGGTCAGGATATAAATCGTAGTACGCTTTTTACAAGACATTTTTATTTCCCGCATCCTGTTGATAAGCTTCGCTGGCACGCATACATTAACGGCCTGGTAGTTTTTTACAGGAGCTAAGTTTACTATTTTTGTTATTTTGTTGGAACTTACGGAGGTAAGATTTACATATACAATATGTCCCATTTGTTTACATTTGGAAAATATTTTTTAAAATATATATTTTTTGAAATTCGGGGACATAGGTACTGTACAGCGTGGACCAAACCTATAGGAGATAGACGAAAACTAATATCGGTGTCTGGAGCTCAATTTTTATCAAAAACATGATGATGAAAACTGCACATCGATATCATATACATATAACTATATATACTCAGTGTTTCCTATTTAACCCCGTGTGCTGTTTCCGTGCCGTAAGAAAAAGACAACATAACTCAGCTCCATATTAATGCTGCATAAGTCTATTTCACCCGGATATCGATTGAACTGCGATTGCGCCAAGCTTCGATTGATTGTTGTTTTAGTTCTGTTTGAATTACTTTTTATTTGTGCGCGTAAAAGAGTGATTTTGTTTAGTTTATTGTTTCCAACTATTTTTTGATATTTTTCCAACTCCATGATAATGTGTTATAAATAATAAAAATTTAAATAAAATTGAAGGTTAGGTGAAATGTCAGTCAACCACTTCCCTTTAAAAACACGGACCAATGAAAACTTCTTCAGGTAAGGCATGCGCAATTAAGTGACTATACGGGTGAAATAGACTTATGCAGAATTCCATATTTCTCTTTCACTGTTTGGGCTTCACTTTTTAGAGATTAGGCTGAGTATATAAAGTTATATGTATATGATCGATATCTGTTGCTGTTTCGGAGTTACGGGGTGTTATTCAAAAATACACATTTTTATTGTACATTTTTAACAAATCGCTGTAACTTTTTTGCTACGCAAAATTCCGTATTCCCCCCTCTCTCTCTCTCTCTCTCTCTCTTTCTCTCTCTCTCTCTCTCTCTCTCCTCTATTTAACTAAACTAAAGCATATATTATCTTTTCTTGTTGCAACATTATGTGTTAAAGTTTTTCTTTATTTATTTGATTGTTTTTTATAACATCTGCATGTATTTAATGGAATCTAATTTCTAGTCAAAATTAAATCAATCAATTATTTTAAAACGAATTATAATATCTGGTTTTCAGATCAATTATTTTTATTGTATAAATTTTATAAGTATCTGTTTTATATTTTCTTCTATTTTTGTTACAGATTCTATAGAAAAAGGAAGAAAATTATTGTCCCAGATAATTTGCATTTAAGAACAAATTTCTTCATGCCAGAGGTAAGTGACTTCTATTTATATAGAATTATTATAGCATTAACATTCAAATTGGTTGTAATTACTCTAAAGATGTCTCCTTAAAGATAAATATTACTGGATCCGGTTAATTGATTTTGAAATTGGTTTTATTAGTATTCGACAATATGTGTACTCGTATTACAGCAGCTGTTTGAGTTGTAGTTGCTTAATTAGTTTTTTTTTTCAATCGGAACTAGAAATCATTTGAACTAATGTTTTCGCTAATAGGGATACATGAGAAAATGGTTTAATTTCATAGATAAATACTACCGTAAGATCGAAAAAAAAACGGCGTCCAATTTTCTTGTAAATAACGATGGATGAATTCCCCATTTAATTTTACATATAAAATGGCAGCGATCTTCGACAGTGTTACTATCCTCTCTTTACTTACAGACAGTGCCGGACTTAGGCCTAGGCCAACTAGGCCCGGGCCTGGGGCTGCAGATTTTAGGGGCGGCAAATTTTGAGCATACCAAAATATTTTTTTTTTAACTTTTATTTGTTCATAAATTATTTCGAATATAGCCTTAGCCGATTACATATTTATTTACTTAACTATTATCATTGTTTAAATATATAATTCGCTTGGGTAATTTTTTACTGCATTGTGCCATGCATCCAATTAATAAATACATAAATATCTGGAATATAAAGTACTATTTATTCATGTTCGTCAGATTTCGTCCAAAATTGGTATGTGAGGGATTTTGGGAATGATAATTACAAATATTTAATCATATTTAAAAAATTCAATATGGCGGATTCAAAATGGCCGATTTGGGCCAAATCTAAAAAAATTAAATTTGACTGACTTCTACTTGTCCGATTGACTTGAAATTTGTTATCCAATTATAGTTCCGATCCGCCATATTGAATTTTTTAAATCTGATTAAAAATGTATAATCCTCAATCCCAAAAACCCCCACATACCAATTTGAGAATGACCCGGTATATGTAGCCTGTAGTAATATAGGTGTATGTACACTGTAAAAAAAAATGAGTGAGATTTCACTCAGATTTCACTCAATACTTTCTCAATTTCTGTCCACACCCGATTGAGTGAAATTTCCACTCTACAGAACCGAGTGAATCTTCAATTCTCAGAGTGAAAAGCACTGAGTGTTTTCACTCAATCGAGATTAGACGAAAGACTCCTTTTTTACTCATTATTGTTTACCTTAGTAGGATTTTGATCGATTTTGATAATTTATTCACTTTAAAATGAGTGAACTCACTAAGTGTTGAGTTCAAGACACCTTTTATTGAGTGACTTTTACTCAAATTTGTGTTACACTTAACTCGATTAGTACTCATATCTGAGTATTAATTTCACTCAGTATTGAGAAATATATTCTAAATTATTTTTTTAAAAGCTATATGTAAGCTAACTTGTTATTTTATAACAGGTGGGCAGGTGCCTTTCAAAGGTAAGTTTCAGTTTAGGACATGGTCTCGAACATGTCCATTTCCTAAAATTCACTTTTGGGAGGCATCTGGTCACTTGTAATAAAATAACAAGTTAGCTTACATAGCTTTTAAAAAAATCATTTAGAATATTTCGTTTTTTTTAACAAACCAAATAAAAAACTGTAGAACCTTCAAAAATATTTTTATTTGTCATTTTTATTTGACAAAAAAACAAATAAAACCAAATATAACACTATTATTATAATATCAAAAACATTTTAAAAAGTTTTCAACTCTTTTTGGAAAAAATACAGGAACTTTTTAAGCTAGATGTCTAGAAAAGTTGCATCACATCGCAAAAATCCGCTTTATTAAGAGCATTCGTCAGCTCGGCTACCAACATTCTCGAATATTTCTAATTTCTAAACTAACTTTTAATAACGAAAATCCTCCGGAAAATCCAGATACTTTTCCTCCTGAAAATTAAAAAAAAATGTTATTCTGCCAAATGTTCCAGTTCCCAGTTCCAGATTGAGGGAAAGTACCTAGATTTTCGCTACGCTAATTAGTCCAGGAAACATCCGAGCATTGCGGCAATCAGTAGACGCAGTCGAATTTGAATATATGTTAGGCGGATTTCTGCGATGTGAAAAAAAATGTTCTTAACATAAAACATATTTAGGAGTTATGAGTTCGTATTCGCTTCACCACGCCACGCGGCCACTGTCACACTTTACATCACACACACATACACTATGGACTTGTAACCTGGGCACCTTCGAAGGAACAAGACAACCTACGACTCGAACAGATAATTAAAAACTGAGGAACAGGGAAATAGCTTATTCGGTATCGAAGAAGCGCGTATGACGTATGATTAGTAATGAGCGAAAATACTCTAAACTGGGTGATTTCACTCAATTTTTATTGTGTAAAAGAAACTATAACATGAGTTTTAAGTGAATTTTCTATTCCATTACTCAAAGATAGGGGTTATAACTCGAACATGAGCTTATTCAATAGCTATTGATTAAATAGAGATCATATTTGAGTAAAATGATGAATTTACTCTATTTTAGATAAAAATGTACTCAATTATTTCACTCAAAAAATTCACTCCCTGAGAAATATGTGTTCACTCAGGCTGATTTTTTACAGTGTATAATGTATTTGTTGGAAATAAATAAATAAAAAAAAAGTTCTTAACTTGAAAACTAAAAACGTGAAAAATAAATTATAGTTTAAAATACTAAAAAACATGCTTTTACCCTACTAAAAAGTATAAAATAATAGAATTTACCTAAAATGCTTGATTTAAAAGCTTGGGGCGCTTTGCCGATATTGATTGAATTAGATGCTTCTAGTCTCCTTAAACAATTCAAAAGCTTAGAAATGGGTCTTATGGCGGTATTTTGGACAGACGTTTTAAATAGATTAGATGCGGTCAATAAAAAGCTTCAAATTGTGGATATTGATTTAAAACTTGCTGCAGATTTTGTATAGCTCATTGGAAAAATATTTTTCTGAAATTAGAAATCTAGATAATACTAAATCATTTGAGGAATATGAAAGAAGGGCCATAGAATTGGTCGGTGAGAAAGAATATGCGGCAGATAAGAAGAGAAAAGTGAAACGGACAAGACAATTTGATGAAACCAGTGATAATGAAACTCTATTTAACGCTAGAGACGATTTTAGGATAAATGTATTTAATGTTATTATTGATAAATTAATCCTTGAAATTTCCTACAGGAAAAGTGCCTACAATGACTTTTCAACCAAATTTGGTTTCTTTAGTGATTTATCTACTTTAAGTATTGATGACAATACCGAAGTCCAGACATTTAATAACCTGTTATCAAACTGATTTAGATGAGTCAATGCCTAATGAATCAATACATTTTCGTGAATTTATAAAATGCATTAAGTCAGCAAAACCATCTGCTAGAGAGTTTCTTAAAGTAATTTATGTAAAAAACGCTCAAGACCTGTTTCCAAATACTTTCATAGCATTAAGAATCTTCACATGTACTTTTATTACTAACTGTTCTGCTGAACGGTCGTTTTCTGCACTGAAACGTATTAAAACTTATTTACGGTCCACTATGGAAAAAGAACGTCTAAATCATTTGGCAGTTTTACATATTGAGTCCGACCTTTTAAAAACTATCAATTACGATAAAGTAATTGATAATTTTGCGAACAAATAAGTTTGTAGGAAACCTTTATAGGCATATAGCAAACCTTTGTTGTACGTTTGTTGTCATTTTATATGAATATTTTAATATTTATTTTATGTTCTGTGGTTGATTTGTTCTGTCGGTCTATTCTGTTGTTGGTAATGTATTCAAATAAATGTTTTTTTTATATCCGTCATTCAAAAAAATGTTAAGGGGCGGCAATTTTTTTTGTCCTGGGGCGGCAACTTTGTTAAGTCTGGCCCTGCTTACAGACTATATTTTGTTAGTCTATCTACCTGGGGGTGCATTGTCGTCGTTGGAAATATAGGAAATCATATGCAAATTTTGGCTAATGCATGTTATATTTAATTAATATTTGTTGATCGCTTGGCAATGATCGAATTGTATTTTGGAGTTGATCGTAGAATGACTCCCTTTCTTGTTTTGGTTTATTGTCTTCAGGTGAGTAAACTGACACTATATTTAGTTTTTGATCTTCTGTTTCCATTCTTACGACCAAGATTCGCGAGGATACATAACTGCAGTCCCGTATGTTTGATTGGTACTTTCTTGCTACTGCGATTGCTACTCCTTCTTTTGCCCTTGTTTGTTTTTCAACTCCGCTGTAGATCACTAGATAGTCATCGTATTGTAATTGACCTTTACCTTTCTTTTTCGTCTCCTGTAGGGCACATATATCGACTTTATTATCTTTAAGTTCTTTTAGGGTTTCTTGATCTTTGTTGTTAAATGATTTTATGTTCCAGGTGGCAAAGCGCAGTATACATTTCTTTTCCCAGGCCGTTATCCTTTTTCTTGCGTGGATCATCATCAATAAATCAGTCGTTTTCCGAAGCAGAGTGTCGGTTCTATGAGCCGTGGTTCTTTTTTACATCGGGTAGGGAGCTAACCTAGCCCGACAACCTTCCTCTTTTTCCGGGCTTAGGACCGGCAACACGACCACTGAGCTTCTCAATCCACCCAGTGATCGCGCAGGCGGAGTCGATCGATTTAATTGCACTGCCAAATCACTTAATATGATAATATCGACCCAGAAAACTAAATGCATGACGACATCAAAAGTACCACTAAGATGCAAACTGGAAGTCGAGGGCAATGTTATTCAGCAAGAGATGAAGTTTAAGTATCTAGGCATAGAAATCTCAGGATATGGTGATGTAGAAGCGGAGGTGCGAGAAGGGACCACGAAGGCAACCAGAATAGATGCCTGAATGATACAATATGGCGAAATAAAAACATTGAGGTGGAGACTAAAGCGAGAATTTACAAGGCAACGGTACGACCAATAATGACATACACTGCAGAAACTAGACCTGATACAGCGAAAACTAAACAACTACTAGAAACATCCGAAATGAGAGTACTACGCAGAATAGCTGGAAAGACGCTTCTGGACAGGGAGAGAAATGAAAGCATGAGAAGAGCGTGCATGGTGGAAAATGTAAATGAGTGGGTACTCAGAATGGACAACAGAAGGATAGTGAGAGTTGCACGCGACAAATCACTGCTAGGTCGCAGAAGCTTAGGACGTCCACGAAAACGATGGAGCGACAACTTGTCAGTCTGACCGGTAGAGACGACGAAACCAAACAGGCGATTCGCCTAGTATGAAGAAGGAAGAAGAAGAAGAAGAAGCATGTTATATTGACATTTGCCTGCTTTTGCATTGATGAATTGTTCAGTTTTTATTGTCCAAAATTGTTCAGATTTGGCTTGTGTATTCACCATATACCAACCTTTAAAAAAACTATTTATGACTTTGTTATAAAATTAACAAGGGATCCAATATTTGGACAATTCAAAATTTGCATGGGATTTCGTGTGTTTTTAACGACGAGGCACTACCCGGTATATATTTATTTTAATTTGTATATGATTTATTAATGCCTATGGTTATACAAGGGTTATACCACGATAATAGGCATAGATAAAGGAAATAAGTGTAGATTGGAAAACCCGGCTTGCCGCCAAAACTTCTAATTGTTTTGGAGCTCATACGTTGTAGGCGCTGCTAGAGCGGTTGCTAAGGACAACCGCAGACAAGAACAGAAATAATTTTCTCTTTTCCATGTCAGAATCTTCAAACATTATAAAATCTTTCAAAATTTAAACCGCCCTCTTTGAAAAAATACCGAAAAGTGTTATAAGCGTCCATTTTCAAAGTAATTACTGCTATCTTGTGATTTAGTTTAAATTTTATTTACTCAAACCCGTAATAATTGTGAAAGTGGCATTAAACTTAAAAAGCTGAAAAAGCTGTGTGAACTGTGAACTGCAAAAACCATCGTGGATCGTGGCATAACGTCGGTTTCCAATGTTTCATAGGTATTTCATACATGTCCTTATATAAAATAAAGTTTCTTATATGCAACACACTGCATTTTATTTAAAAAATTAAAAGAAAATAATAATATATCTGAATAAATAATATTTTGCGATATAATTCCGGAGAAAGCCGAACCGCTCCGAAATTATCAAAAGCTTTGGAGAACGACCGTTGTAAGAAGGGAATGCAATCCCGCACCAAAATCTCAATCCCGCAAACCCGCGGGATTAAAGCAATCAATCCCGGGGATCCGCAAAATTGCGGGACTGTAAACAATAGTCATACATTTGGTCCTAAATGGTACAAAAGGCATTGTACATTTTGCATAGGCCCACAATATATTGATATACCGTGTAAATTTTGTAAATAATTTATCTACTTATTTTATAAATAAAAATATTATTCTGATGTTGAAGTTTTTTTTAACTTGTGTTAGTTATCTGCTTTTAGATACAGTGTATATAAATAATTTTTTGGCATATGCAGAATGTACAGGGTGGGTCAAATTCGACGCTTTTAAATGGAAACACCCTTTTCTGTAGGAGATAGACAAAAACTAATATCGGTGTCTGGAGCTCAATTTTTGTCAAAAATATGATGGTGAAAACCGCATATCGATATCTGTTACCGTTTCGGAGTTACAGGGTGTTTTTCAAAAATATGCATTTTTAACAAATCGCTGTAACTTTTTTGCTATGGAAAATTTTACATTTTTATGAAAACATTTCCAAAGCACCTTTTTACGTATAATTTAATGGTTTAAGAATAATTTTTTTTAAATTAATAATTTAAGAATTATCAACAGAAAATTTGATTTTTTATATGGGACACCCTGTATATTTTTGTGTCCCAAATAAAAAATCAATTTTTCTGTTGATAACTCTTAAATTATTAATTCTAAAAAAATTATACTTAAACCATTAAATTCTACGTAAAAAGGTGCTTTGGAAATGTTATCATAGAAATACAAAATTTTCCACAGTAAAAAAGTTACAGCGATTTGTTAAAAATGCACATTTTTGAAAAACACCCCGTAACTTCGAAACGGTAACAGATCTTGATGTGCGGTTTTCACCATCATATTCTTGATGAAAATTGAGCTCCAGACACCGATATTAGTTTTCGTCTATATCCTATAGAAAAGGGTGTTTCCATTTGAAAGCGTCGAATTTGACCCACCCTGTACAAAGCTTTTTGTACCACTTCATACATATGACTAAAAATGCATATTTTTCGAAAAAAAAGTCAATTTTCCTTAAAACAAAAAAAAAATTAAAAAACCGATCAAATTGTTTTTTCTAATTTCAATACAGATTAGTCGTACTTGGTAAAAATTTCGATTTTTTAAAACTCTAAAAAATATTCGTAAATTTGCGGTAAAAAAGATTCTTGACCAAATTTTCACTCTCTTATAACACACCCTGTATACGAGAATTCGCTAAATATATTTTCGAAAAACACATAGTATCTTAATAACAATAGATGCATTTAAAGCCTGGTCCAAACCGCATCCCAAACTTTAAATTTACCCTAAAATTTTGCTTGTCCCGATAATTATGTCCGGCAGTTTATTTGACGAAATTGTCCACAAGTACTAGTTAAACGGATCCCTTGGGGTTCCGAGAATCGACTCATCGGCCAGGGAATGAAGGGGTTTGACCTTGATCGAGATCGATTCGGTTACCCAGTAGTAATGTGTCAATCCCGCGGATCCCGCACGATAAATCCCGCAACTTCGATCCCGCGGAATCTCAGAGGGATCTCAGAGTTGTAAGAATAGCGCCGAATAGTATTTACATCGTCCTTATGTTAAACTTATTTCTTTTATCTATGATAATAGGATAAAATTTAACTGTCACTGTTATGCCGTCCATTGTTAAATAAACTATACCTTCACCTTGAAAAACGTTAAAAATGTCAATTATTTTTGACAGTTGTAGAAAAATATAATAATTCTATTACTAATAAAAATATATAATTGATTAGAGGAACGCCTTTATTATTTTAGACTTGAATCGACACAATGAAGTTGACCTTGCACGGATTCAAATTGTTCTTTATTAGACAACACTTTCTACATCAATTATCACTAGTAATAATAGTAATGTTGCCTACGACATTTACAGATACAGATACTCTTTATTCTTTACCACCATACCGATTGTTATTCGGCAATGACTAGCCTAGCCGTGTGTAGAGTCAAGGTCTGTTACACGTTCCACCCACAATTTGGGTATCGAACCATTAAATGCATTGAAAAACTATTTTTACACCACGTTGAATAAATAATATTATAAAGGCTATACTTAAAAAAGATATTTTATTTATATTATTGTATACAGGGTGGCCCACTAGTGCGAGGAGGTACAATATCTTCGTCGTTGTCGAAGATATATGAAAAAAAGTTTTATACAGTTGTTGCATGGTCTATAAAGGGGAATATACTAAAAACATTTTGTTGTATACAGGGTTGTTCACCACATACGACACGGAGTATTGTAGCTAAACGATGAGATTTTTACAAATTGTAAGTTTGGGGTTCGTTGAAGGACTATTAGAGCTACAATTTAAAAATATTTTTACAAGATACAGAGTGTCCCAAATAAGTAAAAAATATCAAAGTTGTATTTTTTTAAATGGAACACCCTGTATATTATTACATTTTTTTAGTTTCTACGATTAAAATAAAGGTAAATTTGATTAAGGTTTATTATACTTAAACCTTACCGTTTTGAAATATTTTTCGTGAAATTGCAGTAAAAATTTTAAAGCTTCATTTCTCAAAGGGTATCAATGTTTTTAATACTAAATATTTAATGAAGTTTATTTATTGATCAGTTATTGCGTTGCAATAATAAAAATAATACTACCTTATACAGAGTGTCTAAAAATTTATTTTAAATAATTATTAGCTTCAAACGGCAATAACTTCTTTAATTTAAATGGAATGCCCTGTATATTTTAGGAGAATCAGATGCACAATTAAATTGTCTATCAAATTGTGTTATACAATTTTTTACCTATCCCTTCAAGTTTTCGTAGAAAATGCATTTTCTTATAATTTAGACCTCATTTATCAATATATCCATGGAATATTGACATTTTAGATTGGTTTTAAAGCAACAAATGTACAAAATGTACAGACTAGTAATATTATCGTTTTTAGCAAAACCATATTACTAATATTATGCAAAAAAAAGAAAACTATTTAAATCTTTATAAAAGAGTATACCATTAATTAAATATAATACCATTATTTCCGCCCATATACTAATTAATTATATACTTAATTGTATTCGTTAATAAATTATTATAAATAAATGTGGATTTGAGTCAGAAATCAATATAATAATAAGTTATCAAATTAAAGTCTTTGTTGTTATAAATAAGCATTTATTAAAAAATGAAATATCATTTTTAAGGTGTTACTTTTATCACACTGTCTAATGTACATACAAAATTCAGTTTTTTTAGTATTTGGA